ATCAAATATTATACAGTATGTCGTGTTCGCTCTGTAAGTCCTACACTAATTGAAAGATTTTCTTTAATCTTGCCTCAAATGTTCACCTCAACAAGATGATGTGCAGAAATGTCAGCTCAAGGTCAAGGTCACAATTGAAGGTCAAATATCAAACAATCAAATATTAGACAGTATGTCGTGACTGCTCTGTAAGTCCTACACTAATTGAAAGATTTTCTTCAATCTTGGCTCAAATGTTTACGTCAACAAGGGCATGAAGGGGATATGCAGAATCCATGTTGCTTTTTTGACGGCTTAAGGTCAAGGTCACACTTGAAGGTCAAAGATTGAATTAGAAAATGTTCTTAAATTTTAACATGTATTTGAATATTTCTGAAACTAGAAAAGGTATTTGCTTGAAACTTAAAATATATGAAGTGTCACAATTAAGATATGCTAGTCAAGTTTCATAACTCTGTATTGCATTTTAACAAAGTTATGCCCCTTTTTAAGTCTTCAAATGTGCATAAATCAAATATTAGACAATATGTTGTGTCCGCTCTATAAAACCTATACTAATGGAAGGATTTTCTTCAAACTTTACTCAAAAGTACACCTCAACAAGGTTATGTGCAGAATGTATGTTATTTTTGTGCCAGGTCAAGGTCACACTTGAAGGTCAAATATTGACTTAGAAAATGTTCTTAAATTTTAACGTGTACTTGAATATTTCTGAAACTAGCACAGGTATTTGCTTGAAAATTAAAAGATATATGAGGTGTCACAAATAAGATATGCAGGTCAAGTTTCTTAACTCTGTATTGCATTTTGACAAAGTTATGCCCCTTTTTAAGTCTTTAAATTTACATACAATCAATACTAGACAATATGTTATTTCCGCTCTATAAATTCTATACTAATGGAAGGATTTTCTTCAAACATTACACAAATGTTCACCCCAACTGGGCAATGTGCAGAACTCATCTTACCCTTGTGCCAGCTTAAGGTCAAGGCCACACTTGAAGGTCAAAAATTGACTTAGAAAATGTCTAGTACATTGGGGAAATGAAAGCTTATTTGGCACTGTTTTGAACTTGATTTGACAATATATATTTATACTAATACCTGTACAATTAGTCTTTTTTCACCAGATATAATTGATAATGTATATGTATTTGTGCCACTAAAGTTATTCTCTTAACCCCCTTTCCAAGTCGTCTTGTGTCAAGGACATTGGTGGGGGTATGAATCGCATTCAGCGATAGTTTTAGTTGATTTTGGGGTTAAAAAGTCATAGGTCAAGGTCACTTTTACCTTAAAACTTTAAACAGTTTCCGCTCAATAATTTAAGTAATTTTCAACCTACAGCTGAAAATTTTATAAGATTAACAGCCAAGTCCAATACATGACCCCTATTGATTTTAGAGTCATAAGTTGAAAGGTCAGAATCACAATGATCTTTACACTGAAAATTGTGGTTTCTGGGGCATAACTTAAGTTCCATTTGGCCCACAGTGTTCAATCTTCATAGGATGATTGTCAATATTGAATAGAAGACCCTTATTATTTTTGTGTCACAAGGTCAAAGGTCAAGACTTCTATTATCTTGAAACGCTCAAAAACTTAAGTATTAATCAACCTACAACTGTAAAATTTTATAAGATGAACAGCCATGTCCAATACATCACCCCTATTGATTAAAGGGTCATAAGATCAAAGCTCAGGGTCAGAATGACCTTTATACTGAAAATTGTGCTTTCTGAAGAATATACAAGTTCCATTTGGCTTATAGTGTTCAAACTTTACAGGATGATTGCCTAATTAGATCCATAGTGGCCCACAGTGTTCACATTTCATTTTTGACATGATGGGACTGAAAATATTTTTTACAGTTAAATGTATCGTTTGATGTAGCTGTAGACCTCTAATCTTTGTGCAAAATTTCAGATCATTTTCGTATTTCGTTTTTCCACAATAATTATTAAAATTGTAAAAAAGGACCCAAAATGAAAAGCGTTAAAACGCTTCTCACTTAAATCGGGCTATGAAAAGCATAAAAATACGATTTTCAATTTATTTCAAACTATATTTCTTAACTATCTTTACATAAATTTCTGTTCAATTGCTCCAGCTCATTTATGTAAGAAATTCGTGTTTATTTTTGCTTTTAAACCTCAGTGGAGTCCCTTTAAAACTGAAAAGCGTTTCCGCTCATTAACTTAAGTATTAATCAACCTACAGCTGTAAAGTTTATAGGATGAACAGCCAAGTCCAAAACATGACCCCTTTTGATTTTAGGGTCATAAGGTCAAAGGTCAGGGTCACAATTATCTTTACTCTGAAAATTGTGCTTTTTGGAGCATAACACAAGGTCCATTTGGCTTACAGTGTTCAAACTTCATAGGATGATTGCCTTTATTGAAAAAAATCCATATCTATATTGGGGTCACAAGGTTAAAGGTCAATATCAAATGACCATAATATTGTTAACAGTTTTACAACTGTCAAACTTCATAGGATGATCATTTATATTGAGTACATTAATGATATGCCCTAAAAATGTGCTTATATTGTTATAACCCTGGCGTCTATCTGTCCATCCGTTGTAGCATTTTTTCTTACAAGATAACAACTTGATGGTAGTGCTTTGGAAACAGCAATTGTATATACACTGTATATGAAAGTTCTTCAGCTATTAAGGTAATACCTTATTTAATTCCATGTCTTACAAATGCTTCATCCTTACTAAAAAACACTTTCGGGCATATAATGCTCCGCCTAGCGGTGTTCTTGTTATCATATGAAATGTGTGTTGTCAGACTTTTGGCCAGGTTGTACAGATGCAAACCCGGGTTATAAAATGATGAATGTTGGGCATACAGCATTATCACATTGTCCAATACCATAGGTTTCAAATTGAGGTCGTCCATCAACTTCCTGTTGACTGACTTAGTTAAATTTTGGACATTAATGGTCAATGGTAGGAAATTTGAAATTTTCGTAACAGTTTTCTCAGCAACTACTCATCGCAGCCTCTTGATATTTAGCATTAAGCATTAACATATGGTCCCATACCGTGTGATTCAATTTCAGGTTTGTTGCTCATCCACTCCCTGTTTACTGATTTAGTTAAATTTTCTACATTAATGGTCAATGACAACATCACAGCTTCATGATATTTGGTATCAAATGCAACCCGTCCCATCTGTCTGTGACCCATTTTTATCATATGAAATGTGTGTTGGCAGATTTTTATCATATGAAATGTGTGTTGTCAGATTTTTAGCTCGACTAATCGAGCAGAATAATCGAGCTAATATACACACCCATTTGTTGGCGTTGGTGTCCCTGTGGTTAAGTTTTCGCGTGTTAGCAAATATCTCCATAACTACTGGAGGGAATAGATTGAAATTTCACACACTTGTTCTCTGTGATTATCTAACCTGATTTGCACAAGTGCTGTAACTCTGATCTGCTTTTCTGCATAGTTATGCCCCTTTTTCGACTAAGAAATTTTTGGTTTAGTTTTTGTGTGTTACCTTGTATCTCAATAACTACCAAAGAGATTGAATTGAAACTTCACACACTTGTTCTCTGTGATTATCTAACATGACTGGCATAAGTCCCATAACTCTGATTTGCTTTTTTGCATATTTATGCCCCTTTTTCGCTTTAGAAATTCTTGGTTAAGTTTTAACTTGTCAGCAAGTATCTCCATAACTACTGAAGGGAATGGATTGAAACTTCACACACTTGTTCTCTGTGATTATCTAACATAAGTCCAATAACTCTGATTTGCTTTTTTTCATAATTATGTCCCTTTTTTGAAGTTTTTGCTTGTAAACTTGTATCTTCGTAACTACTGAAGGGTTAGTGCCTTTTTTGGGACAATTTTAGGCATTCATAATAATAAAGCAGTGATTCACTCGATGAAACATCTTAATAACAAGCCTTAAATTGTACCTTTTTGGACAATTTTATGTATTCATATAGGTAAGCATTATTATACTCAGTGAAACACCCTTGTGACAACCTTTTTTGAATATTTGAGAGTCGCTGTCCTCCGACAGTTCTTGTTATCATATGAAATGTGTGTTGGCAGATTTTTATCATTTGAAGTGTGTGTTGACAGATTTTTATCATATGAAATGTGTTGGCATTTTATTTTTTTATCGTATGAAATGTGTGTTGGCAGATTTTTATCATATGAAATGTGTGTTGGCATATTTTTATCATATGAAATGTGTGTTGGCTTATTTTTATCATATGAAATGTGTGTTCCTAAAGGAACTTTCTATACATACTGCTTTGGCATGTCAATATGCTTTGACTTCATTTACTTTGAATCTCCATTTACATTTGTATATACAATTTATATACATGAACAAGCTTTATAAATTGTAAAGATATAATTAAGTCAATGCTTCATTTCACATGCTTGCAAAGGGGTTATCTGTGAGGGCCGCTTAATATATTGCACAATCATATACACTTCCCAGAAAAGTTAAAAGATGTTACATCCCCTATTTTACTTAGATTTTTACTTAGTGCTTTTTAGGATTTTTTCTCAAAAACTAAAGAAGATATTCCAACTCTACTAAGCTTGCACTTCTTGCTCACTATTTAAGTTGAATTGTTTCTAAAAGACAGATAGCTGGTCACTTTATTCATGCAGAAATGGGTTCCTATGAAGTCGTGATAATTACTCTGTGCGAAAATGTGGGTTACCCAAATTGATAGGCATCAGTAGTAAATTTTGTTTGCAGTAGCTTTCAGTCTTATAGCCCTTTTCAGTCATATAAATTACAAATAATCTATGTGTAATAAATGCCCCCAAAAAGGTGTAAGAATATGGCCAATAAAAATATATAAATACGGCAATCAAGGGTGTATAGAAATGTATATATACGGCAATCGAGGGAGTTATTCAAAAGCTTGATTGTTATTTTTAGAAATGCTGTTTTTCATTTTTGGCAAGAGCTTTGAACTTCATTTATGCCTTAAATTTTCATTTTAATGTTACCAATCATTTTATATCATTTTCAGAGTTGACTTTGATGGTGAAACTATTCCTTCCCAAGAGTTTTTGACCTACTTTATCCTAGGAGCTGAAGTTCTGAACTTTGTAAGTATTAATGCAATTTCTAAACCTTACCATGCTAAATATTTTAGATGAACTTGTCAAATTTCATACTAGAAGATTAAGTTAGGATTTTAAACATGTGTCAGACACTATATCAGTAATTTACAATTCTATAATTGTACATTTGTACTTCGGTATAATTATACCCCCGCACAACAAAGTTGTAAGGGGGTTTACTCGAATCAGCTTGTCCGTCCAGACGTCTCCCCGTACAGCCGTCCGGACGTCACCCCGTCCGGCCGTCCGTCGGTTTTCCTTGTCCACCCAATAACTTAAGATTCCCTTGACCCACAGTCTTCATATTTGGATTGCAGGTTAGTCATGACTAGTAGATGATCCCTATTGATTTTGAGGACATTGGATCAAAGGTCAAGGTCACAGGGACCTTGACTAAAAAAAGCTTGTCCGCACAATAACTTAAGATTCCTTTGACCAACAGTCTTCATATTTTGCATGGAGGTTAGTCATGATTAGTAGATGATCCCTATTGATTTTGAGGTTGCTGGGTCAAAGGTCAAGGTCACAGGGGCATTGACTAAAAAAGATTGTCCGCCCAATTACTTAAGATTCCTTTGACTCATAGTCTTCATATTTGGCATGCAGGTTAGTCATGACTAGTAGGTGACCCCTTTTGCTTTTGAGGTTGTTGGGTCAAAGGTCAAGGTCACGGTGCCTTGACTAAAAAAGCTTGTCCGCCGATAACATATTATTCCTTTGACCTGCAGTCTTCATATTTGGCATGGAGGTTAGTTATGATTAGTTGATGACCCCTATTGATTTTGAGGTTGCTGGGTCAAAAGTCAAGGTCACAGGGGCCTTGACTAAAAAAAGCTTGTCCGCCCAATAACTTAAGATTCCTTTGACCAACAGTCTTCATATTTGGCATGGAGGTAAGTTATGATTAGTAGATAGATGACCCTTATTGATTTTGAGGTTGCTGGGTCAAAGATCAAGATCACATGGACTTTGACTTCAAAAAATTGTCTGCCCAATAACTTAAGAAACCTTTGACCCACAGTCTTCATACTTGGTATTGAGGTTGTATATGACTAGTAGATAACTCCTATTGATTTTTAGTTGACTGTGTCAAAGGTTATGGTCACGGGGATTTTTACTATGATAAGTTTCTCTGCTCAAATGCTTAAGAATGCCTGTCTGCAGTGTATTGATTTTGACATTTTCACATTTGAAGCATGTAGAATACATAACTTACCAATGCACTGGCTTCAAGTAACCTCAGATTTGGCAGGTGGGTTGTCCTTGAGCTCTAAATGGCCACCGTTAATTCCGACAAAGTGGTATGCGGGGGTATTCACGCCATGACAGTGGCAGCTCTAGTTTTGATAATTAAAGATAAATGATGATATTTCAGTAGTTAAAAGTTATTGAATGTCATAATATTTTTATCTGTTATACATTTTCTTAACCACTTGCTCCTCTCCACTGTGGGTTCGAATCCCGCAAAGTAATTTGGATTCTTTCCTGTGAGGAAGCTATTTAGTCAGCTTATAGAACATTGATGATTCTAACTAGGTGCCTGCCCATTCATGTGTTAACTAATGCACTGCACCAAAGTCTTTCTTCACCAGTAAAGCTGGAAATGGGTCATATGACCTTCAACCTTTTGTTGCCACAGAAAACTTTCAGAGTTTATGAAATCAGTTCATTCGCTCATAATTTTGTAGTTATAGCTCCTTGTCTTTTTCTTGTAAATCATAATTGGTAATTTTAAGCAATGTGTCCTTTGAAATTAAACATGTATATGAATTAGCCTATTAACATCCCAATAATAATCAGAATATGTATGTTGCTTTTTTTAAATCTTTTAATTCTTGTTTTGAATTTTTGCTACTTTCAGGACACAATTCCAAATTTGACCTTCCTGAAAGAGAATTTTGAGATAGTTATGACAGAGAAATGCCCAGCTGGTGAAGTTGTCAGAGATGGACAGTGTAGTAAGTAAAAAGAAAACATAATCTTTATTGAGGTATTCAATACAACTGTATTTTATTAAACAAAATTAATCCTTTGATGAAAATAACACATAAAATGGTTTTTTTTTCCAATTTGAGGGCTGACTACAATGTGGTAACTTATATATGATAAATAAGGACCTACACCAGTTTTGCGATCAACCCTCAATTTATAAAAATTGATTTAAATAGCTGTAAAAAATATTTCTTCCTTAATACTGTTGATTAGAATTGCACTCAAAAGTGTAATACAACAAATAATAAAGTATGCAGTTCACATTTTAACAGACTTTACAACATTTCAGTTGAGTGTGGACCAGGTAACTATTTCCGGTACACCGACAACACCAACACAACTGCTATCTGCGATGACTGCCCATTCGGATTTTATCAAGACTTAAGTGGCGCGTCAAGCTGTAAACAGTGTACAACTGGACTCACAACAGAACTGAACGGAGAATTTTCATCATCGAGCTGCAAAAGTATGTGACTAGAAATTTTGGATTTTGTTGAAAATTGTTGGTCTTGAGTGTTTAAAATTCAGGCCTTGAAAACATTTTTCAAAATTTTCTAGCCCTTCACAAAATATACTTGCCGTGCATTTCAACGGACAAAAAACGTTAAAATTAAAAACTCAATGACATGACTCAAATTTAATATCTACTGGTCTATATCAGAAAAACTGACTTTATGTAATTACATTTTGTTTATAATATTTTTCATAATTTTAATGTATAATCTTCGATATAGTTGTTTTACTTTTTTCATTAAAATTTCAAAACGCAATGGGCCCTATGGAATAAACCCTTTTTGGAAAGGGCTTAAAATTTAAACGAATGCAAATGTATTTAAATTTTTTAAAAATAATGCGGGTTGTTAGGAAGGGGATCGTTAATCAAATTCATCGTCGTTTTTTGTTTTCTTTTAACAGTTTTTTACGATTTTTGTCAATTTTAAATTTTTAAGAACAAAAATTTTGGGAGTTTTTAATGAGGTTTTTTGCTTAAAAAAAGGGTCTTTCTACGAGGTTGCACGGGTGACTCTTTTTTCTGAAATTCCAAAAAAAAAATTTAAATTACTGGTAAAACAAATTTTTTCTGAAATTTTGGTTTGATGACTGGAATGTTTTATTTATTTTGGAATTGCATAGGGAATCATGTTTTAAAAACTAATGATTTGAAGTTTTGTTTTAAAAAGATATTTAAGTTAAGCATTAATACATTCATGCTTGAGTGCATAGAAATGTAAAACATTGGTAAATAACCATGGTAGCTAATATAGGGCTGTTTGTCAAAGTATTTTGAATAATGATACACTGATGGAGCTCGATTGTGAAAGTTGGATTATCCTGTCACGATGCATATATCTGATTGAAATAATGAACATAAATCTGTATAAACTGTTTGCGCGTAAATCTTGAAAAACAATGTGTATGTGACCAGGACCTCAAATCTCCCAACCTGTGCCTGCTGTCCTTAACACACTATAAAATGTTGTTTTGTTGTTATTGTTTTTCCCCCTTTATTGTTCTTTTGAAAAAGTCATACTGTTTCGAGCAATGTCGAGTAAATCTGACCCATTGATAAAGAATTTTTTTGTTTTTTTACCAAGCATTCTTGCCCATTGACCCAATACCTTTGAACAATAAAAAGAAATGAAATTGTCAGCCATGCCCTATTGGCTACTACCAGGATAAAGTAGGTCAGTTCAGATGTAAAGGATGTAGAGCTGGAGTGACGACAAAAGAAACTGGCTCAACTTCCTCGCAAGCATGCTCAGGTAAGTTATTAAACCCTTACCATTCTAAATATCTTAAGTGGACTTGCCCATCTTTCAGTTTGGACAAAACCATTTTTCATTTTAGGGAAGTTTTCAAAAACAGTAATGGAGTGAATAATAACAGTGCATCCATGGTCATATTGCATGGATATTAAAGTGTTTTAGTTGACATTCAAACTGCACCGGTATTTATAGTAGCCTATACACCAGCAGCCAATTGTACATGTATAAACGATGGTTAAAATATACCAAAGTAAGTTAATTACCGCCGAATATATTGTGGTTAGGTAACCGCACAGTTATTCCATTGGTATAAACCATTTAACCACAAGGTAAATTGAAAATTTAAACAGCGGTAAAATATTCCAATGATGCCCAGGATGTGATGTAATTTGTGCGAAAACAGGGTCAGACAGTATCTCTTGGTTGATAGTGTTAATTTGTTTCAATGCAGACTTTTGATGTTTGTTTCAATTTTTATAATTGGCATATTTTTTTTAAAATTTTATTGACAACATTAAAAAAGTGCATGGCTTAATTGGGTTTGCTTTTTATATGCCCGAAAGAATTTCTGGCATATTATGTTATACCCCCTGGCGTCTGTCCGTCCTTCTGTCTGTTTATCAGTCCGTACGTCCGTCCGTCTGTCCGCACTACCAAATAGGGATAAGGGGCCAGCTAACTGTAAACAGAACAAAAGAGAACAATAGAGTTCATTCTGTAACAATAGAGTAAGGGGCCATTGGCAATCTATTAAACAATAGAAAATAACAAAAGAAATGACCTCTTATTCCATATCGGCAGCGACGTCCATCGTTACGATCCCCAGAGGTATTTTGTTGTGGCTTGGAGAACAATGGGTATAAAACAGTAAAATTCTCTTTGATCCTATTCATTCCGTTTTTACTTATGTGTCTTTTTTTAAGCCTTGTGTGACTAAAAAATGGCCAAAAAAGATAAAAAAAGTCACATAAGTACCATTTTTGTGAGTATGTCCATCCGTCTGTCCGTCCGTCCGTTAGGCAAAATTTGGTTTCCGGAGCATAACTTTTAAGTTCGTTTGGCCCACAGTATATTCAAACTTCATAGGATGATTGTCCATATTGGGAAGGAGACCTCCTATTGATTTGTGGATCACAAGGTCAAAGTCCACTATTACTTTAAAACTGAAAACATTTCCGGAACATAACTTTAAGTTCCGTTTGGCCAACAGTGTTCAAAACTTCAATAGAATGAAATTGTCCGCATTGGGTAGAAGCCCCTATTGATTTTGGGATCACAAGGTCAAAGGTCAAGGTCAAATATTCCTTTAAAACTGAAAACAGTTTCCGAGCATAGCTTAAGGTCTATTTGGCCCACTAATATTCAAACTTCATAGGATAATTGGTCCATAATGGATGAATACCCTATTGATTTTTTGGGGTCACAATGGTCAAAAAGGTCAAGGTCACTATTACTTTAAAACATGAAAACAGTTTCCAGAACATAACTTAATTACTATTTGGCCAATAGTGGAGGGAATCCGAGGGATATTATTAATCTACATGTAAATAGAATAATCATTGGCAGAGACATTGACAGGTAAGAACTTTCTAAATATCTAGGTAACAATAGCTGCTTCGTTTGGTTGTCCTTGAAATTGTATTTTTATGTGTGCCATCTATGCAAACCTATTTAGATGGAAGACTGCGGGTAAAATCCACAGTGATAAAAATTGTCATGGTATCAGCGCTTGGTTCCATCCTGTATTTCTTTAAAAAAATAAAACGGTCAAAGAAGTCTGACAAGTTTGTCAATGCTGTCTGCAGGAAATCTTTATCTTTTCTGTAACTCCTCTTCTGTGAAATCAGTCAACTGTCTGTCAATTCGACGGAATTGTCAGAGTTGTCTAAGCTTACACGTTTATGGTCCGCCATATTTGTTTTGGTTACCGTGCAGTTACCAAGCATCACAACCTTGGTTAAATTAAACCGTGGTTACAGCGCGGTTACTGCTTTAGATGTCATTTATACAATCGGTTACCAGGCTGGTTACCATTACCTTGTGGTTACCACTCGATTATACAATTGGCTGCAGGTGTTTAACCTTATTAAAATTTCATCATGTTACTCAGAAAAAAAAACAAACAATGGAACTTTTGTATCCCAGTGTCCTTATAGCAAAAACCTTGAAAGATGTTTCATATACATGTATGTAATTTAGAATCAAGAATAAAATTTTCAAAAAGAACAATGTTTCGGAATTTTTTAAAATATATCCGATGATTCTGAATTATTCAAACCAGTGGTGAAGTGTTCCATTGATGTTATGATGCTATTAAGCAGTGAGAGAGTATGATAAGCATATTTCATCACTTTGGATTAAAAAAACAAAACTTTGTCAAGTATCCATATTGATTACCTATTGTACAATACAAAGGATGATTTTTTGGTTATGTATAATTTTTACAGCTACATGTGAAAGTGGGTCCGAGTTGAATAACAATGGTGGGTGTGACCTTTGTAAGATAGGGCAATATAGAGATGCTGATCTAAGCCGAACATGTGTGGATTGTGGCAACGGAAAAATAACAGCAACAAAAGGAGCAAAGAAGATTGCTGACTGCAACATAGGTACAATTTCTGTTATATTCCTCTGTAGTATATGAAATAAGAATATAATGTTTTCAAGTCCATCAATCTTTCAATCTGGCCTGCGTGGATTGTTTTATTGCAGATTGTTTCAGTGATAAAAATAAAGGAATTATTGAATGACATTGTAGATGTGATACTAAATTTATTGAACTCGTTGAATTAAATCATATTGTGCGAGCTTAGGCGAGGTAAATTTTTTAATTGAAGATTTTAAATAAATTTATTTTGAATCTCAAAAAAACCTGTTTATTTGCCCCTTTGAAGGGGGGGGGGGGGGGCACTTAGATTTACCCTTCTCCGTCTGTCCGTCCATTCTCTCGTGTCGCACATAGCTCAAAGTATTTGACCTAGAGTCATGAAACTTTAAAGGAATGTTGATCAGCATGTATAGTTGTGCACCTGGGTATTTTCGTGTGGATACATTTTGTATTTTTAGAGTGTTTGCCCTTTACTTAATAAAAATTTACAATTCAACTTCTGTTGCACGTAACTCAAAAAGTATTTGACCTAGAGTCATGAAACTATCAGCTGTAGTTGGTATTTTACTGTGGATATATTTAGTATCTTTAGAGTTATTGCCCTTGACTTAATAAAAATTTACAATTCAACTTCTGTTGCACGTAACTCAAAAAGTATTTGACCTAGAGTCATGAAACTATCAGCTGTAGTTGGTATTTTACTGTGGATATATTTAGTATCTTTAGAGTTATTGCCCTTGACTTAATAAAAATTTACAATTTTCAACTTGTGTCGAACGTAACTCAAAAAATATTTGACCTAGTGTCATGAAACTTTACAGGACTGTTGATCAGCATCTGTAATTGTGCACCTGGCCATTTTTGTGTGAATTTGTTTTAGTATTTTTTAGAGTTTTTGCCCATGACTTAGTGAAATTTTGCAATTTTCAACTTGTGTCGCACATAACTCAAAAAGTGTTTGGGCTAGAGTCATGAAAGCTTACAGGAATGTTGCTCATTATGTGTAGTTGTGCACCTGGGGTTTCGCTTGTTGATTTATTTTGTTTTGTTAGTGTAACTGCCCTTGATTAAGTAAATATTTGCAAT